CGGATGAATATGACAAGGACCAAGAATCTTATTCAATAAGAACGAGACAAGAACCAAGAGTCTTACATAGTAAGTGAAGGTGGCGACTCTTACCATGATAAGCGCTTACCGGGTACATTGTTGCATACGATACCGTTTTGGTGGACTAAAATCTTACCTGGTAAATAAATGATAGTGTTAAATTTTACCGGTAAGCGCTTACCGAGTAAGTGTTTGGTAAACGGCCCTTAGTTGGTTGTTGAAAAAACTAGTCATTTTTGGTAAATAATAATTTAAAAAAATATAGTGCATTCAGTAGCTAGATAACAATGTAAACCAATATAAAATAATGTTGCGAAAAACTAGTTAGAAAAATACAAGGACATAATTCACAAAACAAAAATGCTCCTAGCAATGGTCCGCTAGCAAGCTCATTCTAATATTCAATACAATACATTGGAATCCAGTTCAACCGGTTATAATCAGTTGATGTTTTTCTCCTAAAGACTGGCCTGAACCAAAACTGCTTACATAGTTGAAACCAGTGGAGGTCGGGACCAGTTCGAGGACCGACCCACTTGCTCACGTATAATCTTGACTATTGTTTTCACCATTAGCTCAGCAACAACTACAACCCTTATACTAGTTGACCACCGTCCCACAATTTATCGTTTTATATTCTATTGAATTATGATCATGATTATATATTCTCTGGTTAGTTAGATGATCGAGATGACTGGTTTTGATTCGAAGATCTCAAAAAGATATCAAGTAATTAGAAATGTACATGTGAGACATGCATAATATTGAACCCAAATCATGGTTGAATGGATCAAACCACCACTTGCCTAAATGCAAATTGAACAAAAACATTTGAAATCTACTAAAAAACAACTCCGTGACTCATACCACATATTTGACCATACCCATGATTTGTTTAGAAATATAAAAAAAGTAACATGACGATTAAATTATAATTAAATACCAACGACAACATGTTCATAGTTCTTGTAGTTGTGCACTATCATTACTAAAATGTACTATCATTGATCTCTATCTCTCTCACATACACACACACACATATATATATATATATATACACACACACACTAGAAGGATATTCGTACAATGCAGCGAGATACATCTCGATTTTAATGTTTTATTTTATTATTTGTCTCTGTCGATTAAAAATAAACAATTAAAAAAAAAGTAAAAACTATGTCTTACAATTATCTTTTTATTCTGGCGTTTGCATTACACAAACATATATTATGAAAATTTTCCTAATATTAAATAAAACTTTATTATAAAAAGTTTGCACTAATCCAATTAAATTGATAGGGTATATTAATAGTTTGAACTGATATTTATTTTAAAGATTGATGTTTATTCAGATTATTAAGCATTTATAACAATTAATAATGCATAAAAAAATATTTAGAAAAAAATAATTTAAAATAATAAGAAAAATAAAGAGAGAATTAAAATGGTATAATTGAGAGAGGGTTTTAAGGGGATGGTTGTGTGTTTCTTAGGATGGTCAAAAGAAGCCACGCTTCCATGGATCTACCCTCCTCCGATCACGAGGCAAGGGCTCTTTACACAAGGCTAATACTTATAAGGATAATAAAAAAAATAAATGATGGAGTATTTTGGTGGGGTGTAATTTTTAAGTAGGTGGGGTCTAAATCCACCAAGCCATAATAAAATATAATATTAAAATCGAGATGTATCTCGCTGTATTGCATAAATACTTTTTTAATATATATATATATATATATATACACACACACGAATTTAGTAGTATTATTAGTTTTTCAATATTCTAGTGCCATTGTGTTTTTTTATAACTATATATTTACACATGAAATATATTCATATTTATCCTTTTATTTTTAATAAGATTTAAACTCTTAACTTGTACAAAAAGTAAAACATTTCTATCAATTTTTTGGAACAAAAAATTAAACTTCAAAACGGTTTCGGATTTTCACTTTTGTCTTATTAAACGGTTCGATTAACTGAATAAAAATAACTTAATTGGTTATATTATTTTGATTAAACTGACATGTTATATTAGTAGTTATATATTTTATATACAGTTTGAACATAAAGCAAATGAATACATTACATGATGATTTAAAACAAAATTCAAATGAATAGACGAAGAAAGAATAACAAAATTGGATGAGGATAAAAATAGTTATTTATATGCGTTTAAAACACATGATTTAAAAAAAGGAGAAGACGTGTGACTTTAAATATAAAAAGATACAAAGGATTCGATGGTGGGTGGCCAACTGAAGCACGAAACATGAGGTTTTATTGCTCCAAATCCAAAATAACTTATAATCGTCATTCTTTCTTTTTTTTTTTAGAAAATTTTAATTTTTGAATTTTTGTAATCATTACATGGAATTTAATACATTGGTTTTTATTACTGTAATTAATAATGGCTTCTGGGATTCTAAAGATTATGGGTTCACATGCTAACCCAGGCTTTGTATATAAAAAATATGCTCAAACATTAACAATGCAAAGATATATATATATATATATATATATATGGTATATTTAAAATACAATCATGTCCATTTGTACAACCAATGTAACCCAATTAATTGAGATGTTTATGGAAATGATGAGAGTTCATTTATTATTATTTGAATATTAATGAAAGGTTATTAAAGTTTATTAATTATGATCAATACTTTATATTATGAAACAATCAAAACTTTTATCAAATCACATATTCATCAAATTAAATGGACGGTTGAGATTGAGTTGTATTGGTTGTACAAATATATATATATATATATATATATATATATATATATATACACACACTATCAAAAATAAAAGATACGTAACGGTCATTTTAAAACAAAATTTACTAAAAGGACTCATATAATATTATGATAATCGATAACTAAAAATTAATTAAAAAAATCGAAGAACACAGAAGATTCTGATAGAGAGACGATAAGATTAGGAAAACACAAACGATAATAATAGGTCGATGAAATACAAATAGAAATGAAGAGTTTAAAGTTAGTAAAAGAATGGGATAGTGCAAGCCGTAAGGCTGTACTGTTATGTTATAAGGAAGAATTTTAGATAGGGAGGGGTATTTTGAGGAAAGAAAGACTTATATTTTGAGAAATTGATCAAAGTAGTGATTTCACCCGATATAATCCACTTTTTAGCCAAATATGCTACTTTATGAACAAAAATATTACTACATCTGCAAACGACACATATGCAGCTTGTAGATGATACTTTTTAGTAATCCAATAATAAAAAAGGAGCGCTGTCGTAAGTGTCTGATCCGCAGGTTGCAAAAGTATTGATGTAGATTATTTTGATATCAAAACATACCATCCGCAAGTTAGAGAGATACCACTTACCATAGTTTTAAACAATTCATTATGACCTCGTTATGACGTCAAGGTTTGGATTCATCGCCATGTTAACCCCTGTGCCTTTACTCTAAGGCTCGTTACAACGTGTTATGCCGCTTTAAACTCGTTCTTTTGTAAGGTGTGGGCTTTTTAATACATAATTTGAGGGATAAATAATAATTATGTACGATATTTAAAATTTAAATAAACATAAAAAAAGAAACTTAACAACTAAAAGTTTAAATATGTAAATACTTACTCTCATTCTCATACGCCTAAGAGGCGAACACAAATTCTTTGAAAATTAAAGAAAGTAGTGAATTGAGATTCAAGAGATTTAATCTCAGTTTTACACCTTAAATACAACCACTTTATGAGATCTATGATATCAATGATTCTTCTTTCAATTGTAGGTGGCGTTTAGTTCACAAAATGTTTTTGATTGAAATGGAATCTGTTAAAGAAATTTAACCTTGAAGAAATTGAAATGAAATGTTGTCAAGTTTGACCACTTGTTTAGTTGACAGACATTGGAATGAAATTTGTTAAGAAATTGAAATATTTCTGTTTGATTCACATAATGTAGCGTTATAATTAGAATAAAATTTTGGTAAATGACCAAAATGCCCTTTTTCGAAAAATTTATTTTTTAAAACTAAAAATACTTTAATAAAATAATTATTTAATATGTAAAACAATATAAAATACACAACCCAAATATAATCATAAGCCAAACGACGTTACTAAATCGACGGTGGTTGGTGGTGGTTTAGATTGACGGTGAATCAGATCAGTGGTGGCTCAGATCGACGGTGGTTCAGATCGATGGTAGTCGGTAGTGGTGGTGGTCGGCGGTGGTTCATATCGGTGGTGGTCGACAGTGGTTCCGATCGGCGGTGGTTTAGATCGGTGGTAGTCGGTGGTGGTTTAGATTGGTGGTAGTCGGTGGTGGTGGTCGACGGTGGTTCAGATCAATAGTGGTCGAGAGGTGGTCGACGATGGTCATATTGAGTTTTATGAGATCAGAGTATATTATGTTAAGGACATATTTGGTATAATGAAGATAGAGATTACAATATTTGGTATAATGAAGATAGAGATTACATTCCATCAAATTACCATGTAGTTGTTAATGAATGTTAAATTCTTTTATTTGTAGAATTTGTAGGATTTTGAAGATTCTTTCCGTGAAAAAGAATGAAATGAACAAGATAATAGAATTTGGTCAATGGAATTCAACATTCAAATTCCATCATATTTCTCTAAAATCTGCAAACCAAACGCCACCTTAGTTTTATTATTTTATATAAATTTAACTAGTTATATGTTATCATTCAAAACACTACAAAGCTAATAAATATACTTTAAAAACAATAAATGCAAAATATAAACAACCATTGCAAAAAAGAAATAAAAATAAAAATAAAAATAAAATAGTAGCATCACCTCCACATGATCATATACATGAAACTTTTAAGGGTAATATGAAGGACACTAAGTAATCCTCCCGAAAAAACCAAAACAGCTGGGAGATGTACCATTTCATAACTAGTCTTTCTTTTATATATATCATTCATATATACCCACTAATTAATCATTAATTTCACCAAAGCTATTTAGTTACGTCGGAACTCCTCCCGCATCCGGTGCCACGTAACTTAGTCTGTCCACTTCGTCCCACGTCAACTTTGCCGCAATCTCGTCGTACTCCGGAACGAATTCCTGATCGAAGCAATCCAGTCATTTGTTTTTCCTTTTTCTTGATTTCAATAATAAATCATTTCTCAAGAATAATAATTAAACGAACCTCGAGCTGTCGGACCAATTGTTTGGCAGTGGGGGCTGAGACGATAATCCGGCGGGCGGTCGGTGAGATAAACCCTTCATCCACGGCCTTATCAATGAAAGACAGCAATGAGTTATAGTAACCCTCCACATTCAGCAGACCAACCTGCAACAGATCCATCCATTAAATTAAAATAAGAATATTGTTACATGATCAGACAACAAAATAAATTTAAAAAAGTTTAAAATACTCATGGAAATCTTCTAACCCATCTGCATCTGATTCTTCTATACTACCAACATTAATTTGACCAAAAAGATGCCCTTTCAATTTCTTGCTAGCTAGCTATGTGGGTTAACATTAACTATTTTATGCATATATTAAGATACTATATACATATATATGATTAATTAAAGTCGGTTCTTACGGGTTTATGGTGGATTTTCAGCTGAGCCCATGTGATGACTTCAAGCAGTTCCTCAAGAGTGCCATAGCCACCTGAGAAATTCACATGTGATTATGTTCAAGGTTATGATGAATGTTTTATGAATCATAAAGTGGTTTACGCACGGTATATACCTGGGAGTGCGATAAAGGCATCAGCTTGACGAGCCATTTCTGCTTTTCTTTCATGCATATCAGCCACTGCTTTCACTTCACCTACTGTCTCGCCCGTTATCTATTTCACCACAAAATTTCAAGAAATCTTCACATTCTCATTCTTTTTGAGAACCATCTTAATTAAAGATTTGACTTTCTATTGTTTTCTTTGGTTGGTTTGATGTTTACTTGTCGGTTGTCCACAAAAGCAAGACCCCAAAAACAAAAAGGATCAAGAAACAGATTCTTGAATGATTAAGAAAAAACAGCCATTTTAATTACCAACATACTTTTCTAGTTATGAATTCAAAGAGACTAAAGGTTAAAAATTTGATTTCTTTTTCCAGTTTTCAACCAAAGTGAACAAGATCAGTTAAGGTGGAACCAGCAACCAAATTAAATAGAAATAACAAGTTGATTTATTGCTACTTGTGCCAAAGGGACAAGAAAGACAAAATCGTAGAAATTGATGTGAAGGGGTAGTTGAGTAAATGCAGTTTGTATCAAGACAAGTCCAATCACTATAAAAAAGGCAATACAACCTTATTAATGGCTACTCTCTTCTACAGAGCTCAAACTCTCCAGATTCAGACCATTGTACATCTCTCAATGCACAATGGACAAGTCATTATAGCATAATTTTTTTCTGGATCTGGGACTTTTCAGCTGGATTTTTGACACTAATGATAACAATCAAAAGAAGAAAGCTTTGATTTGAAGGTTCCTGAATATACCTCTCTGGGCATTAGAGTCCTTGGTATAACTCTGCAAGAAACAAAAAAAGATATCCCATTACAACAAAATTTGTATATTTACCCAAATGCCCTTGTAGTAGTGACTTGTGGTAGTATACTCACAAGGGCAAGACTGTCATTTCACCAGGGTTTGATTTCTTTTTCCCATAAAAACAAGTTATGCCTAAAAGGTTTCAAACTTTCCACAAAAGAAAAGGCTTTTACATGATCTGTTTTACCTTTCTATGAACAAAGTCCCAGTGTGGACTGACAAGGTGTCCACAGACCAATATGGATGTTCTTATCTTTGATGAAACAAAAGATGCTTCATTAAAACAGTGTAATCAAGAAACCTCTTTTTTATGGATATCACCATGCTTTTTTAAGTGTTGGGACTATGTTTTCAATCTTTCACAAAATTAAAGATGACAACTTTTTGAAGAACTTGATGTGTATGTTCAGTTTTCAACAGGAAAAAGGTGAAAAACAAGATGAAAAAACAGGTTGATTAAGTACACATATCAGAGTTTTATATGCATTTGATCCCATGATGTCTGAAACAACTCATGTTGCATTGAGTACTGTGAAACATGCATGAATACCTTTGAATAATCAAGCTATGGTGATCATCATTCATCAGTTTGACTTTAAAGGTCAAACTTGTATTCGGGATACATGTTCTTTTTCATTTTTAACTCCAATTCTTTCTTTTATTCTTCTTCTATAGACATGTATCGTACATGGTTCTTAATTTCTTGAAAATTTTAATTATCTCAAACATCATTTTCAGAAACAAATAGTAAGTTTGACCATCACAATCAAGAAATAGTAGTAAAAGGTACCCACATCACAGAATTATGAAGTAATCCATCCTCCATGGCTATATATCTTGAATCTTTTCTTTTTCTTCCAAAAAGAATGGTGTGAATATAGGGAAATTCTATAGATACATAGATAGATGATACAAAGGCTGGGGGGGGTAGAGAGTACATAGACGATTGGGGAAAGATAGTCGGAGGAGTCATGACCGGGGTGACAAAGGGGGGGGGGGGAAGGGAGAAAGAGAGCATACCCTAGAACATGGCGCCCACCATCATGAACTGCCTGAGAAACAAGACCCATCAGACCCACGCTGCCACCTCCATAGACTAAATCAATCCTTCTTTCCACCTTCCAATTTGCATTGAAAATTGAAGGATATGAAAATCATTAACACGTGTCACAAACCCACTTTACAATTTCAGAAGGCAAAAGAAATGAAGAAGAAAGTAACCCATCATTATCACATTTTGTAAAAACATCCATTATTCCTTTGTCCAAGATTCAATTTTTTATTAAGTTGAAGAAACAGAAATCGATTTCATTGAACAAAAAATGATGATGGGGGCCGGGGCCTTCGTTTGGGTACCCAATGTGTAGACATGCTTAAGAAATGGCCATTATACTAAGATGGCACGTTTGGTTCCCCATTGAAAGGCACAGAGAGACCATTCTGTTTGTTTTTTCCAACTTTTTCAATTTTTTGTTTTCTTATTACAACCTCCCACCATAAACTTAGATCATGCAAGAAGGCTGCTCAACTGACAGCCAGGTTACAGCTAGCAATTTCTCTCTCATGCCAAACATAAACCCTAAACCTTCCAACCTTCATTTATCACCAAACAATCAAATAATGAAATAACTCCCCTTTTGGACAACAATAACTCCAAACAAGATTGAAGAGTATAGCTTGGAGTCTTTGTAAATGGTGAAATGGGGTATCAGAAAAGATAATTTTATATGAAATGCATCATGACAGATGGAATCTTTATAGTACAAAACCAACAAAACTGATCGTTTTCATAAAGAATGCTGGGATATTGGAAAGGTTTTTTTATTTATTATTATAATAATATAATCTGCAGATTGTGAAAAAAAGATTGGATTCAAAGATGGAAAAACAGATGAAAGTTAGATTTATGATATGGGTAGGGTTAATATTGTTGAACATGCAGAAAGAATATTGAAAAAAATGTAGATGTACCAGCTCTTTGCCAAGCTCAATAGCAGCTTCTTGGTAACTTGGTTTCTTCCCTGAGCTACTTCCACAGAAGACACATATTCTCTTGAATCTTGATCTTGGTTCACCTTCCATATCTCACTTTCTCTCTCTATATCTCACTTTCTCTCTCTCTCTCTCTAGAAATATTGGAGAAGGCGATGATGATGATGATGATGATGTGCTTCCTGGAACAAGGGAGAGGGAGGGGGGTTAAGAAAGAATGAAAACAAAGTGTGAATGATGTATAATATTATAAAAATGGATTTAAAATAAAGAAAAATTAGAGAGGGAGACCCACAATATAACAACAAGCCTACCCCACCTCTCTCACGTTCTCTTAACCCCGTGGTCAAGCAAGCAAGCAAGATTTCTTGATTTTTATTTTATCCTTTTAGTAAGAGATATCATATGAATAACTGAAATTCGATAAATTTATGTATAAAATAAGTAACAACATTAATCAATTAAATTAATAAACCGAATCCATAATTTAATTATTTTATTATATTTGGGTTTTGGTCAATACCAAATTTTAGATTCGTTGCAAATTTGATTATCATACATTTTTCATTATATTATAAATTCTGAATATATTTTTTCAAACATATATAAAAGTATTTTTAACAGGTTTTTTATAATCAAAAATTAAAAGTCAAAATCTTTAAATAAAATTAATACTCGTGCAATGCATCGAGACACATCTTAATTAAATGTTTTGTTTTATTCTTTATCTATATTGATATAATACGGTTTTATGTGGTTTTGAGAAAACGATAATGTTTTTATTTTTGAATAAAATATAAATTCTAAAATATCATAAAATTTTAAAAAAAGTATATTGATATTAATATCAAATTAATTATTTAAAAGTTATTGTTTTGTGCAATTTATTTAATTCAAAATTTTTATTATAATTTAATTTTACGTA